GTTATCTCTATTAAATTGAACTCAAAAAATTATTTACTTTGGCGTGATCAGATAACATATTTTTTATTATGCAGCGATTTAATGGAACATGTTGATGGCATCATTCCACCTCCTCCTAAAACAATAACCAAAGATAATGAAACTACATCCAATTCTGCATATACAGAGTGGGTGAAGAAGGATCAATTTGTTTTTTCTTATCTGAAGACAACATTGTCGTAAAGTGCACAAGCACAAGTCCTGGGTTTGTCATCTTCTCACTAGATTTGGATAACTTTAGAAACTATTTTTCATCAATAATGTCAAACAAAGTTAGATCTGTTTTGTGATGAGTTGTTGAGTTTGAGTAAAAGAATTGTCTATTAAAGAATATCTTGCCAAGATAAAATCTATTTTTGATAATTTAGTAGCCATAAATCATCCTATCTCTAATTCAGAATTGGTCACTCATACATTGAATGGACTGCCAAATACAATTGAATATCAACCGGTTATCTTTGCTATTGAAAATAGAGAGAATCTCATTTCCTTTAATGATTTAAAAGTACAGTTATTAGTTTATGAGCAGCGCTTAAAAAAATTTAGATATTGTTATCACAACCTATGAATTCCATTGTTAGTTCTCATAAAACCGCTATAGTAACTCACTCAACTAGTCGAGGTCAGCACTTCAATAATCCTCATCGTGATTTTAGGTGCACTGGACAGATTAATCAAATGTATGATCATTGTGATTCTCTGTCTTTTCCTTGCACAAATCATATATATCAATGAGACTTTCAAACAAATAACCAAGATAACAGGAACTTTCCACGTTCTCAACATGCAACTTGTGTCATAAAGTGCCAAATTTGTCACTAATTCAACTATACTACTGTAACATATCAATATCGCTATAATAAATCTAATTATAGTCTAAGCAATTTTTTTGTTGGTCTTTATCTTTCTACTGTTATTTCAAATGATACTCCATTTAATACTCCAATAGACAATGACAATGATGCCTACTAGTTGGTAAATCCAGGTGTTACTAGTCACATGACTTTCAATCCATCATTGGTACATTAGTCCATTCTTTATGCTGGCAATGAATGTATTTTTATTGGTGATGGTAATTCTCTAAACATCACTTGAATTAGTGATTCTTCTATATGTCTTTGTTCTACAAAATTAGCATTGAAAAATATTCTATTTGTTCAACATTAAAGGAAAATTTATTATCTATTGCTAAGCTAACCAAAGACAATAACTGTGATTTATATTGTCTTACTTGAGGTTTTTTTATTAAGGATCTTTGCATGGGAAAGGTACTTTTAGATGGACTAGTTAAAGGCAACCTTTATAGGATTCCTATAAGAGATGTGGAATGATTTGTTGGTGTGAGGTAATGCGACCAACAAGCTTTGTTTAATGACAGTTTTTCTTCAGTTTCTGGAATAATTTGGCATCAACAACTTGGACATCTAATTAGCAAAATTATAGCATAGTTAAAATCTAATAAGTTTATCTATCCTAAGGATTCTTCCCTTTGTAACTTAACTTATGCAGCTTGTCAAGCAAAAAAAAGTAGACGTTTTTGCCTTTTGGTTTATCTACTAGGATAATTTCTAATGTTCTTGAATTAATTCATCGTGATCTTTGGGGGCAATCACCTACTACTACTGTTATTGGTTTTCGCTATTATATTATTTTTGTGGATGATTTCAGTCATTATACTTCGTTTTATCCATTAAAACGTCATTCTAATAGTATTACTTGTTTTAAAATTTTTAAGACTATTGCTGGAAATCAATTTGGCAACAAGATCGAATTTTTTCAATGTGATGGAGCTAATAAGCTTATTAAGGGTGATTTTAAAAATCTTATTGATCACCATGGTATTTCTCTTCAAATTTCTTGTTTACATATTCATGAACAAAATGGTTTAGTAGAATGAAAAAAATAAACATATTGAGGAAATGGGCCTGACTCTATTGTTTCAAGTTTCCTTACCATGATCTCTTTGGCTTGAGGCATTTTTAACAGTTGTTTATCTTATCAATCGACTTCTTACATCAGTTTTGGGTAATCATTTTTCTTTTGAGGTGTTATTTAACTCTGTACCATATTACAATCATTTGAAAGTTTTTGGATATGCTTGTTATCCTCATTTAGTTTCTTATCGAAAAGATAAGCTTTTCCCAAAATCCACTTGTTATGTCTTTTTGGGGTATAGTTCAGTCCATTAAGGATATCGTTGTTTAGACCCCTCTAATGGTCGGGTTTATATCTCACGACATTTTGTCTTTGATGAAAATTACTTTTTTTTTTGCAGAACATTTTGGTTCTACAGCTCCTAGGATTCTTTCTCATCCTATTGACTTTTCTACATCTCTTGAGGTTAGTTCTGAGGTATCTTTTCCCATACCTCTTACTACAATTATGTTAGAACCATTACCAAGTGTTTCAATCCTAAATACAACTATTTCTAAACTTGATACAACTATGTTGCACCCTTTGCTCAACCATCATCTAAGCTCTCCACTTCTTCTAGTTCTAAAACTATACATCCATGGTTACACAAAGTCGAGATGGTACTTGAAGGCCCAAAGTACCATACTCTTTATGTGTTATAAATTATCCATCTTTTGAGCCAAAATTCTTCAACGAAGCATGTCAAGATGAAAAATGGATTTCAATTATAAATGATGAATATTTTGATTTGATGTAAAATAATACTTGGTTTTTAGTGCTTCGTAATTCATCCATGAATGTTGTTAGTTGTCGTAGGATCTATAAAATCAAAGAGCAAGCTGAAGGTGCTATTGAGAGGTATAAAGCAAGATTAATGGCTAAAGGTTTCACACAACTAGAAGGTATTGACTTTGATTCCACCTTTAGCTTTTTTGTTAAGGCATCACTATTCGAATTGTTCTCTCTATTGTTGTTAGTAGAAGATGGTCCATTAGGCAATTAGATGTCAAAATTGCATTTTTACACGACAAGTTGCATGAAAAAGTTTATATGGCACAACCACCAAGGTTTGTAGACCCTAATCATCCTCATCATGTTTGTAAATTACATCACTCTCTTTATGATCTTCGCCAAGCTCCATGAGCTTAGTTTCAAAGATTTAGTTCTGCTCTTCATGCCTTTGGTTTCAAAAGCAGTCAAGCAGATCCTTTAATGTTCATATGGCATTCCTCATCTGACATGATGTTGCTTTTACTTTATGTGGATAATATTATTCTCATTGGCTTTTCATTAAGTGTTAGTCATTCATTCATTTCGTAGCTTTCTTCATAATTTTCAATGAAATATCCCAATAATTTTCATTATTTTCTTGGAATAGAAGCATATTGTACAACAAAACATTTGTTGTTTACACAAACCAAATATATGTTGTCTCTATTTTTGTGTTTGGGTATGGAAAACTACAAACTTACTTCTATTCTAGTAACTGCTGGTAAGAAGCTTTCTCTATATGATGGATTTTTTTGCAGACCTATCACAATATCACACCATTGTTGGAGCTTTGCAATATTTTAACTTTACTAGATTTGACATTACCTATGTTGTGCAACAAGTTTGTCAATTTATGCATGTGCCTCGTGATATTCACTTTCAAGCTATGAAACGAATCTTGAAATATCTTAAAGGAACTACCAATTGTGATATTCGATTACTTTCTTGCACTATACCGAATCTGGTATACTATGTTGATGCTAATAGAGCTAGTTATCCAAACACTAGACGTTCTATAATGGGTTACTATGTTTTCTTAGGTTCTAATCTCATTTCTTGGTGTATTAAAAAGCAAGTTTCTATTGCTCAATCTAATACTAAAGCAAAGTATATGGCTTTTTTTATAGCTTCTCGAGATAATTTGGATTTCTTATATATTAAACGAAGTTATATATTCTCTTGCACTACCTTGTTTGTATATTCTAACAATATGAATGTTACTTAACTTGCTGCCAATCTAATCTTTCATGCTCGTAGAAAACATATAAAGACCTCTTATCACTTTGTTTGAGACCTTGTTTGCAAGCACTTTCTTCAAGTTCTCAAATTTTCATTAATTTAATAACAAGCTCTTGTACAGTTCTCTCTAATCACTTAAAGGTTATATTGAAATATGTTATCAATAATTGTACATTTAGTTACGTATAAATATACTTATAATCTCTCATAATATAAATATACATAATATAACTTTAAATGAAATAAAATAATATATTTATTCTTTACAGATTCGTTTCAGATGGGATCATATGTGGCTAGCTATTCTTACAAGTTCTTCTTTTAATTAAGCAGGTTGTCCAATTCCACCCTGCAACTTTCTTGAAGAGCTCAGGAGCCTGAGTCAGGACTCAACTTTTGTCTTTACTGAAGCTGCTGCTTCTTCCTCTGCCTGTAATATTGCAGAAACGAAACAAGAAAGTAGAAACAGCTTAGAGAGAGAGAGTGGGGAGTGGAATTTGAAATTACACAGGTGGCACCTGCTAAGGTGTAATAGAAAGAGGAAATTTGCTTTTTGACCAACAAATGTTAGCAAAAGATCAACAGGACGGTACATCACTACAATGGGTTATATGATGTTTCATTTCTTGTATCAACCTCTTGTTGCCATAACAAAAAATGAAGCCTAATATACATGGTGTATCATGTTATGCTAATAGGAAATCACCTTTGCTATTGAATTGAATCCTTATTAAGGGAACTTTTTAAAATGGCATTGGGCCCGTATTCCAAATGGCTGTTAGAAAGAAAGTGATGGGATGGGTGGTCCTCTCTTGTCTCCTTGATATAATAAACCGTACTTCACTTGTAAAGTACCCAATTACACCGGTCAAGTAGCTAAGGGTCACCATTCAATGCTCAAAGGCCTTATAAACTCCACAAATCTCTCATTCTCTCTCACAATTGTCACATTTAACCACGAGGCATAGACGCAGGCCAACTGCTGAACTGTTTCATTTCATCTTGATTTGCATCTCACCAAAAAAAAAAAAAAAATCATGAGCTCTACTCATATTTACTGGATTTTCCACTTGCTGATGCTCATAATTATATTCTGTGATCTTGAAATGCATGCAGGTAGTATTAAATTTTCCACTCTTAATCTTTGATTCTTCTATTTTGGTGTTGAACTTTGTTATTTTATCTGTGTTATCAAAATCTTGGAGTTCTTATTACCATTTCTGGCAGAATCATCCAAGAAACTTCTGCATTCAACTTGTGGTGATAACTGCCAGTTAACAAGAGTTAATATGACAACACAGCAGGCACATTCAAGTCATAGAAAGCTTTTGGTACATGGTAAATATTCTATTTCTCTATTTCATGCTCCTCTGATGGTACAATGCCAATCTTTTTTTTTGCTTTGCTTACCTTTCTTCAACAGGTAATTGCACAAACAGAGACATAAGCATATCACAAAGCAAGGATTCCACGTCTGGGATCCCACAATTCATAGTGCAGATTATCAACACCTGTGTTTCTGGTTGTCCTCCTTCAGACATCCATCTCCACTGTGGTTGGTTTGCCTCTGCAAGAATAGTAAACCCAACAACCTTCAAAAGGGTCTCCTATGATGATTGCTTGGTTAATGGAGGGAAAGCTTTGATGACCAGCCAAGCTATAAGATTCACTTACTCCAACTCCTTCATGTACCCTCTTGCATTTAAGTCTGCTAAGTTTTGTTCAGCTCTACCGTGAAGAAATTCTCTACAAAGAAGTTATGTAGAATTGTAGACTGAGATACCAACTAGACCCGGAGCCATATCCAGGAAAAGCTAGGACGAAGAAAAGCACGGGCTCATTTTTTCTACAGTTTAATATTAGCCCATTGAACATACAGTTCTCTATCAAGAGTTCCTACTTTACTTTAAACTTTTGTAGCTGTGGACAATGTACTGAGTAATGTTTCATCATCCCCAAAAAGTTGTGAATTTCATTGTTCTGGAATCAAAATACTTCGAGTCAAAAGCTACGGTTTCTCTCTGGTTGCAGGGGGCAAAGAAAGTGTCTAGAACTCAGTGCTTCTTTTTGCATTCTTTCACTAGGAGACGAAGTTTTGGATTTATTGTTCACTTTTTCATATCTAGACTAGAGCTGCAGTTGTCGGGTCTCCTTTTGAAGATCGATGGGAACCATACACAGAGAGTTAGTGAAAGTTTCAACTGAGAAAAGAAGCAAAAGCTGTTAAGATGGCTTTTCACTCCCTCCTTGTGACTCGTGATTTCAACAGCTACAATTTCCTATTCTCGAGCAGTGAGCCTTGTCACTTTTGTTAACATATTACCATTCATTTTCCAATTGACTATGCGAAGAAACTACTGAGTAGTGAGTAGTGATCCTCTTTTCCTGCTTGTTTGAATGCGAACCGATCAACCCTCGATGGACCATAGATGGATTAGTACAATTCCAATCTTGTTTTCTTAGTTGCTGTAGTTTGTACAAGACAAAAGAAATAGAAAAATCAAGAAATATCGTAAGCTTGACTTTGAATCCTGAACTTTGGCAAATCACATATAAATCAATTGAATCGCTTGCCTAGTGCAGCCACATATTAGTGCATGCTTCGAATTTGTTTGTCATAAGCTAAACTCAAGCCTATATTTTTCCACTTTACAAGAAACTCGACCCGATTCAAACCTTTCATTTATGCAAAGAAGCAGGAATACTGCTACAAGATGTACAGTGCTTTCTGTTTTAAGAACAGAAACAAATGAAAGAATTACAAAAGAAATTGCAGGTAATTACAAGTTAAAAAATGGAAAAGATATTCTGAGGAATGAGCCAGTTATGACAAAGCTCAACATTGACTTGGTCTTCTCTCTCTCCAAGTATAATAGATAGTTGCATTCGTTCATCTTGCAAAATTTCTGGTGCAGCCATTTTATTCTTACATTAAGGAGATAAAAGGAGTGGCACTGCTTTTTTGCCCACAGAAACTCTGAAAACCAGTCACCCACCTGCCTGCCTATACCAGATTTTTGAAGAATTCTTTGCCAGACCTTTTTAGAAAAGGTACAAGTAAAAAGAAGATTATTCCTCGACTCCACATCTGCATTACATAACAAACAAGCTCTATTTGTCACTTAAATACCCCAGCTTTGCAACCTATTCGTGGCAGGAAGTCTATCAAGGATAGCCACCAAGAGATGATAGAGTGCCGAGGTATGTGAGAAGGGAACCAAATAAGTTCTTGCCAATCAATTTTTTATCTGCTTGTCCCTTATAGCCTGCCAAATAGCTCCTGGATGGAATTTTTTAAGTCTGCCAGATGTGCTTAAGAATACAAGCTTGATTCCATTCCTTCAACTTTCAAGCCTTTCAAGCCAAGACCTTCTTCAGACTTTGGATAACAGATAAAATTCCAATGAACACTAGCTCGTTGAGCTGAGCAATCTGTTCCTTTCCAAAAAAAGGATGCACAAAGCAGTGCCACTCTTTTTATCACCTTATGTGTAAGAATAAAATGGCTGCACCAGAAATTTTGCATGCTAAATAGTACAGATTGAATTAGTTCCACTCTTCCCGCATATGAAAGGTGCTTGGCTGTCCAACTATTGATTCTCTGCGTGATTTTCTCAAGAAGAGGAGTACATTCCTTATCATAGAGCATTTTTGTAATAAGAGGAACACCTAAGTGGCTTACTAGCAACTTCATCAAAGTATGTTGCAAGTTATGTTTAGGTTTGGTTTTGTTTGATTTGATTACTGATTGTGTTGAGCTCTGATTTTAGAGTAATTTTGGAAAGATAGAAGAGAAGAACGTTTAGAGACAAAGGCAGGGAACTATGTTTACACTTTGACGTGTAAGTCAGAATAGGTGAGGTCAGAAAGAGAGTAATAAAGAGAATTAGGAGTAGAATGAATTTACTTTAATGGTGCCTGTATCTTCATATTTATAGATAAACGATAGGGGACCATTAAGGGATAATAAGGATAGTGTCGAGTTGATGTGGCACTGAGTATGTTAAATCAACCTGATATATCAAGTTGATACAAATGTCATAATTATCTCTAGTTATCTGCTAAAGACTTCTAACATGAAAAAAGATCACTATACTTTTTTTACCACTAAATGCTCACAACATTTTGTCTCCCCATCAAGCAGTCTAAGTATCAGACTATTGATTATGCGATCGACACATGCCATGTAAGGCAGATAGGTAAAAATAAATGACGTGAAATTAGATTCCTCGTAGCCAACGTCATAGAAGATCGGCATCGAGAGACAAGTAGCATTAAGTGGTGGTCTAACTTGATGGGAGTCTGATCTTGCGCATATGTCTTAGGTTGGGCGCATAGCTAACTTGAAGATTACTGATGTGTTAATTGCTCGAGATGATCCAGGATTAGTGCTGAAGTTCATTTGATCGATGTGGGAATTGTGTTTTATTACTTGAGGGAGGATTTGAGTCTTTATTTTGAACTCCGATGATGGATCGGGCATCTAGTATGTCCCAAAAAATTGTTTGATCTGGCTAATCTAACTTACGATTCTTCCATTTTGATCGGTTTGACTGTATTAAATGAGGAGAGAGGTATTTTGAGTAAAAAAATTTAAAGAAGAAAGACGAAAAGCTATCTTCCTATCTTCACTCTAACATATGACGTGATCTGTGTCATTTATCTGATCTACAGTACAACTATATAAAAGGTTGGTAGGGCTTTTGTTTTTCACTTTTTTGTTTTTTTTGCTCTCAGTTCGATTTGAATTTTTTGATCTTAAAAGCTTTTTGACATTAAAGTTATTCTTTTGATCGCCTATTTTTCTTTGTTTTTTTTTTTATGTACTTTCAACTATGTTTTCTAGTTTAAGTTCTACGATGGTAAAAAGTTTCAGGGTAGAACTTAGAGGAGGTCAACTCAAACAAGACGACGATAACCTGATTCTACCAGTCATTGAATGTCATGATTGTCAAAAGATAGCCTTTTGGTTCAACCTGATGTCTAAAAAAAGATAGTAGCAAAACAAGGATAATGCACGAACAAGAGGAGAACGGGTCTTGAGCATAAAGAAACTATGTGCTAAGATAGATTTTGACCTACAAAATCTACCTTTTTTCCTTATCTCTCATGTCAGTCCATTTTTTATGGCTAACATTTATTCATCTTCAGCTATTCCCCCTTTTATCTTTGATCTCATCAATTTTCTTTTACTTTTACTCTTCTACCAATTGATACTCTTGTTATCATTTCTATTCCACATTGATCAATTCTTGTTGTGATTACTTTTTTTTCTAAAATGTCTCTACCTCATCTTTCTTTCCCTGAAGTCGTATTGCTTTTAGCCACAGTTCAACCTCAAAATCTTACTCCTACTCAAGAGTTAGAGTTTTTTGTGGTAAAGAGTTTGATGATTATAAGGGTTTTAATTAGGAACAAGGGGAAGGAAGCACTATAGCTGAAAAAAGTAAAGGTGAGGAAACGGATCTTATAGAGCATGATAAATTGACTGGGTTCTTATATATATTTTTTATAACTTCAGTATGATCCCTAAGTACGTAATAAGGGAACTAAAGGGTAAGGTTAATCCTAAAAACTATCTAACATATGTTCAGTTCATTATGTTCGTGCTTTAGAGATAACCTTTCTATTTCTCAAAGAGAGGTATAGCATATTAATGTCGAACTCCTCAAATCGAGTCATTGATAGACTGCAACCACATTGGCTATATGTATATTAGGATTCATTCATGGCCGGTCTAAGGTTTTCATATCATTTTTTGTTTATTTCAATTTTTAATTCTTATTATGCGATACATAGTATGCTTTATTATTCTTTGTCAACATTTGCACATTCTTCCCACTCTCCCTCTATTTAGGAAATTTTTTTCCATTAAAAAGTATCATAATGATGAGAAGTGGTATTATGTAACAGCTCAGCCCAATAAAAAATTGTTTGTCGATTGCTCGAGCTTAATAAAGAATTAAAAGTTGCTCTTTTTTTACCTTTTAAAAATAAAAAATAAATAAACAAAGTGAGATCGAGGTCACCGAGGTTGAGGCATAGGAGATAACAAATGGTCTCAACGTTTTTGTAGATGCACCAATAGCTTTTTTCGTCATAGATCTAACAGATCAAAACAAAATAATAAAGTATACCCGTAGGGAGAGCTCATCATTGAAGCCTATAGCTGACCCCCTCTGAAGTTATAAATGAGATGAAGTACTAGGGTAGGAGTGAGGTAACCTCGTAAAATTTTATTTTAACTTGATTTTTATCTAACTGTTAGCTCAATTTTGCAAAAATATCTACCGATAAAAGCTTTGACTTTTTTCTGTACTAGCATGCCCGTAAGCCCAAAAGATGATTTAGCTCAAAAACCTATCTTATAAGGGAACAAGGTTACGAACCCCTCAGTCTAACGTTCCCTAGTAGTTCAAAAGACAAAAGTCTTTAGCTTGTCAAAAGCTCTCTCAGCACCTTCTGCCAAAAAACCAAGGGTTGAGGTCTCCACTTTCACCTTAAAAAATCCTAAAGCGAGGGTGTTAAGGCCTAACTCGAAAAAGATTTTCACTAGGTTGGATTATACTCCCACCGATAAGCCTATTGAGAACCTCGATATGGCAAGAAGGTTTTACAAGGTCGCGGTCCATTCTCTTAGTAAGTGCTATTTGATTTTAGCTTAATTTTTGTATTATTTTCATTTTTCTTAAAGTCTGAGTTCATCCCATGCAGTTTAACAAAAGCTCTGACCTCAACCTTCAAAAATATCAGCTAGTCCCTTCATCATACCTACCTCGCTATAGCCTACTTGCTCAAGGTCAAGAAGGATGTGGTTACCTAATTGAGAAGTATAAGAATAGTTTAGACGCATTGGGCAATTTTAGGTACAACCTCAACACGTCCCATAAGAAAGAGGCTAAGCAAAAAAAGAAAAATGATGAGCTAACAACAGAGTTGAAGGCCGTCATGATTGAGAAAACCTCAATTGACTCTATGAAAGAGGTTAAACTCATACTTAATGATGCTTAAAATGAGATAATAAGGATAAGGTCTAAGTTAAAAGCTAAAAAAAGAGAAAAAGAAGATCTAAAAAAATAGTTGTTGAGAACTTTCAGGACTTCTAGTGAATTCCTTCTGCTAAAAGTGAAGTTCTCCTAAGTCAACATGCTCGGTGCCTTTAATCTGGCCAAAGATGAGGTGAAGTTTAAATTTTTTTTACTTT